GCTGTGAAGGGACAGAGATAAAGTAGTGAACAGAACCTGACCTTCATGTCGTTAGAGAAAGGGAGAGTCTTTAGCTGGAGTTCTCTGCAATGAGCAATGTGTGTACGCAGGCAAGCAAGCACGTGAATATGTGTATGCATTTAACTGTGATTTATTCCTGTAAGTTTGATTCCATTCTTTCTGTTTCTTTTCAAATGTGACTGAAGCTATTTAACTCTCTGATTAACTCACCTCCCTGTATGAGTTGTTTTCTGTGATATATTCCAGCACTGTACAACCTTTCTGGAAGCTGACTCTCTGCTGTTGGGATGAATTCCTCCCTGATGTGTAGTGTGGCACATTTGTTCTATTTACTGGTGTTGGAATGAGGTTCTGCATTTGCTGTAAATCAGATCTGGAGGAACATTTCAGTGTCGTGTCAGGTTCTGCTAGTTTGGTAGTATCAGACATTATATGAGGTCCTCTCAGCAAGAAAACGTATCATGTCACATCTCCTTCTGCACAGTTGCAGTTTCAAGATCCCCAGAACTTCAGTTTGGACTTGGTCCACTGTAAATCTCAGTAAAATCTGACTCCGGGTTTGTGCTGACATTTCAAGGGCTCAAAATCCCAGTGATCTTCTTAGCCCATCTGAACTCATCAGTACTGTCAAAACATTTCTTTATTCAAAGGCTTAAAAGTGATATGAGCAATGTCATTGATCCCTCCTTCCTTAAATATCTCCTTTATTTTCTGTTCAATGTCCTTAATAACTTATGTGCACACATTTCTTTGCTGGACAGGCTTAGTTTTCCTATCACAACCATGTGAATGTAATTGGAGAACAAAAATCCTTATTACAGCTTTTGGTGGTGTCATGGGCACATAAAGAAAATATATTCCCTACGGCATTATTGCCTTGCCCAGCAGTTCTCAGCAACTCTTTGCTTCACTAGCTAGAAAATACAGAAGCTTCTTGTAGGGTGGTGGTGGGTGGTGTGGCGACAGAGAAAAATACTGCTGATAGGTCTGGTAATGAAGATAGCACATCTATGCCTACATCTAACATAGCCACGACTTTTTTTTTCTTATTGGAGAAGCAGCCTTTCTTTCTCCACTCTTAAAAAGACATTTAGGCTGGTGAAGGTGGAAAATATTTTTTTCCTACCCATTGGCTGTAGTCTAAGGACAGCAGGTCGGCTAGAGGAGAAAAAAACCCCGCGCATCTAATGGTGTAAGTTTCTAGAAGTAGCACGTGGTAGTGCTGGATGTGCGTACCTGTATTTCTAGTTTTTTGATAGATGAGCAATTGGCTACCCCTGTCCCATGCCCCTCACCCCTGACTATGCACAGTGTTAATGCTTACGTGTGTCAGAGAGGGAGACTTAATACGGGGTCCCCAAGAAGGCAAGAAGTACCTTATTGCAGGTGACTTAAGGACTGCCTCAGCCTGATAGGGGTGGTTTGGGTGTACAGTATCTTATTTCAGCGGTATATATTTCTTGTTTTGTTTTGCAGAAGGAACACTGATCCTACCTTTGGTTTGTTTGTTTGTTTGTATTTTCCCCTCCAGAAAGCCCATTGCTGACCCTGCTACTGTGATACCGCTGTTTTGCAAAGCTGGAGTCGACACGCATGTAGGGGTGGGGGTTGTAACTCTGGCAATTTGTACTTCCCGATTAGATGTGACTGTTCTGCTAGCTTTCCCTTCTTTATTCCTTTCATTTAGTTCGTTGTGGGAGTTGGCTTGGGGTTTTTTCCTTTCGGTTTCTTGTTTTGATCCTGGAAGGTTAGCTGTGCAATTTGGTTTCTTCTGTGCCAACCAACTTTAGTGGCAGAGCTCTTAAAAAAAATTAAAAGCTGTATCCCTCCATCCTGTCTTGCTTCTTCTCTGTACGCTACTGCTTCCATTTAAGCAAAGTTTACAGAATTGCTCTATCCATTTGGACACCAGGAAGGGAAGCTCTGAAATGGAGAATAACCTCATTTCCACCAGGTCCTTCAGTCCGGTTGAAACAACGCTAATTGAAACTGTAGTCCAATTTCTATTAAGATGGATGGGCTGTCTCTGAAATTGGGTTTGTTTCTGATTTCATCCTTTCTCTTGTTTTCTTTCCAAAAAAAAGTCCCACAAAAAGCAAACCCAAACCCAAACCATTTTTAAGAGCTCTGAATAAAACTGCTTTGCCAATGGGGAATGGGTGGGGATGACTCTGATTTTCTCTTGTGCCCGGCAGCGAAAGGGTTAATGCCTGCTTTCCTCTTTGGTATCTGTTAGTTGCAGCCCATGTTGTGATCAGTCCATGTCCATGTGCATTTTGTTCCCAAATTTAATACCGGTTAATTAACAAGCAATAAGTGAGCCTTAACAATGACAGTTGTTTCCGATCTTCCTCAGGACACCCGACCTGCCTGCAGTTCACCACAAACATGACTGAGGCTGTTAAAACCTATCAGTGGCAGTGCATTGAGTGCAAATCCTGCAGCCTTTGTGGGACCTCTGAGAACGATGTGAGTTCATTTACCTTTTCATGCAAATAAGCATCACTGAAAGCTACTGTCATGCCTGCCCTTGAGGGGTGGGTCATGGCTTTACTGCTGCTTCCATACACCTCCAAGGCAGAGCCACTCCTGAGAGTAGAGATGCGCTTCTCCCCAGGACCCCTGTTCAGTCTCTGCTGAAATTACCATGGGTATCATATAGGGCCACTTAAGATGGCAATACTTGTAGTTTGTATGCTTATTCAATGGAAATTAGCTGGAGGCCATAAACTCATGTCGCAGGGAGCTGCAAGAGAGTAATATTTTCAGTATGGTAGTCAGGAGTAGGTGTGAATGGATGATAACCTGAAAGATGGCAGGTACGTTTCTCCTGTCCCTGGTTTTGATTACTTTCTTGGCATGATTTTTAAATCTTAATTACAAGACTTGGGAAACATGAAAGCATTTGAACTGGGATGGCTAAGCCTCTCTCTAGTCACCTAATCACCTATCCCAGTCATTTCCAAACCATGATCCAGAGCCTGCAGCTGAACAGTGTCTTCTCTGCAGGGTTTTCACTTAAAATCTGATGCTAAGGGTCCTTGGTAGTCTGTGAAAAACTTGGAGAATTGACAGTGGCTGGAGAACTTTGGAGGTGATTAGCTAACACCACGTTCCCTATAGCAGAGTAAATGTGAAGCCTTAGATTTTATTTTGCTTTAGCAGTAAATAAGGAAATCTGAAAACAGGGAGCTGTTCTATGTTAGGAATCACGGGACACTTTGGACCAGCTTTTTTCCCCCAAAATATATGAAAGAGCTGCAGAACACATGGTGGGATCATGTCACTTCCATCTGTTTCACAGAGCATTTACTCAGCTGAGTTTTGGAGAACTGGTTACGTCCAGGCTTTTGACAAGAAAGGTTTCCCCTGAAGGGATGAGATCCAGCACATGGTCACTTGGAGCCCAGCAATGGGCTTCTTTCAGCACAGCGTATCCCCAGCCTAACAGCTTTTACTCCTGCATCAGGAGGCCACCTTGGAGAGGAAGTCCTCCACCTCTCAGAGAGGTTTTCCAGTTAGAAACTGAACTGCCTTTGTGATGAGAAGGGCTCTCTGCAGCCTCTCAGAAATATGGTGGTTGATAGTGGATGCACAAACGTGATGCCTGTAGCCTTTTACGTTCCCAGTAGTCTCTTAGTCTCTATGTTGCAGCACTGCGTTCCTAGCTGAGCACTGCTGGTTACCATGCTTATGTTTTCGTCTTGGCAAGAGACTAATTTACATCATTTTCTCTCTTCTCCTCTCCTTCTCTCCCTGTTTCCCTACTGTCTCCCCAACAACCCTGCCTCAGGACCAGCTGCTCTTCTGTGATGACTGTGACCGTGGCTATCACATGTATTGCTTGAATCCACCAGTCTTTGAGCCCCCAGAAGGTAAATTATGTTGGAAGTCTGCTTTGAAAATCGCAATAATGTCCTTGTGGAGAAGGGAAGAGTTTCAGAAAGGTGGCCTGGGCCATGCAGGGTTAAGGAAGCAGTAGCAAAGCAGAGGCAGGTAGCACTAGAAAGAAAATTAATAGACTTGGAGGTCTGGTGTGATCTGAGATGTCCTATTCAATCTTACCTGGTCTCTACCTCCTCTTCCAGGACATGGCTCTTTTGCCAATCATGGGTACCCTTGGATGTCCCAGATGGCATTGGACACCTCAGTTTAGTTACCTGAGTTGAGCTCCTGTGAACTGTGACTTTGGACTTCCTAAGAAGTCAAAGTCCCAGAGACAAAGCCCCAGATAGGAAGGTCCTCTCTGGAACAACTGAGAGTCTGCTGTCGGGAGGCTGGATTAGGAGGAATGACCTTCCTTGTTCTCTGGTCTGTCTGTGCCTAGGAAGGGTGAGAGTTTTACGGTCTGTATTACATTTGGTATGTAGTTATGTCCTCTGCAGGGGATTCAATCTGACTATACTAAAACTGGTTGTAGTTTGTCACTTGGTTGTGGAGCAGAGGAACTAGTCCCTTACCGTTATTGATTCTCTGACTAAGATCTGCTGAGAGCAGTAGAATTGTAGGAGACATGCAAGTGCGAATGACTGTCGTTCACATGAGGGGCGAGACAAGAATAATTACAAACTAGCCATGCATTCAGGAGCTAAATGTTTGTAACTTTGATAAAGAGGAAACTAAATCAGGAGGGGAAAATTTTGAAATGCAGCTAATAATTAGCTACAGGTTTCTGTTTGACTGGGAAGTGGTGTATTGAAAGCATGAAAATACAAAACACTTGGTGGCAATGCACACTCCAGCTGTGTTGTAACTTGTGTAGAAAGCCTATGTACACAACGCCGAGGGCAGCAGAGCCTGCTTCAGAAAAATACAGGCAATTCCAATGTTAGGAATATTTGATATCCTGTTCAAGCCAATCTTGACATAAACTTTGAGTGCCTGGATTTGATGTCATTCCTATAAGAAGGACTTCTTCATTTGCAGGGAGCTGGAGCTGCCATTTGTGCCGGGAGCTGCTCAGAGAGAGAGCATCAGCTTTTGGCTTCCAGGCCTGAGGAGCTCCAGCGGTCAAGAAACACTTTGCTCCTGGTGTTGCCATACCAGCACACAATTCCCATCCAGAACACAAAGACACAACCCACATCAAAACAAATGGACACTCAAATACAGGAAGAGGTATCTGTGGTATTCACTGTCACTAATGCCATACCTCCCGGGCTCTACTAGAAGGATCGTGTACTTTCCCAATGCTCCGGATGAAATCTCTTCACTGCTATGCATGGTCGCTGCTTGCTGTTACGGGCTCACATGAATTATGGAAGGGGGAGGGTTGTTATATCGATATGGAGAAGTCAATTTTGTGTGGCCTTGTGCTTTCTGTTTAATCTTCTTTTTAAAAAAGAGATAGTAAGACAACTCCCAAGGAATTATTGGTGAGTACTTTGGCTGGGAGCAACACCAGTTGTTTCTCTTCACAGGCTTGACTGGAAATCTCTTTACTGCAACCACTGTATTTGTAGAGGGGCTTTGAGAGTTGCGTTAGTTCAATACTTCCAAGGTCATGAACAACACGTGTCACTGAGAGAAGCACTGATCAAAAATTTTTGGGGTGGCACTTTCTCCTTTGGATCAAATGCTTGGATTTGGCAGATCTTTAGAAATCAGTTTTTAGTATCTCTGAAGGAAGAACAGTACCGGTATGTACACACACAGGTGCTTAGAAAAGCCTACTGTCTTTGGCACTTCAGGATATTCAGGCACACTGTCCCACTGCGGTGCCAGCATACAGTCCAGACTCATCATTTTATTTTTGTTCAGAAAATTGTGGATGGTTATGCATGTAACTGACTTGCTGTTTAGCTCAGAAAATTGAACAAAAGAAAAACGTCATCTTAAGTTGATCATAGAAAGTAAAATTGTCAGATTTCTGAGCAATCTAAAGTAAGCTGCGAAAAGGAGCGACTTTGGCTTAGGGTCAAATGAAGCACTTTTGATTAATTTTTTGAAATTTCTAAACTAAAATGTTCTGCAACTTAAAATTGCATTTTATTCTGCGAATTGCCTAATCAGGACTTCCAGCATTTCCAAAGTGTTACTGTTTTTTGTCAAAGTAATTATCAAGATCTAGCTGAATTTCCACGTAATTTTGCCCCCAAATTCTCCACAACCACATTTTCGGCAAACGTGATAATTTGTCAAAAAGCCTTCCCCAGCTCTAAAGAAGGCAATAATTTACTGAACCTATTAGGAAAAGAAGTATTTTCATAAGGATTTTAAAATTTAAATAGAAATAGTTGTACTTTATTTAAACAAACCTCTACATGTGAAATGAAGAAACATTAAGCAAGAGTGTCAATTGAAAAATTATTATCACAGATGAATCTTTTTGAATAATTTAAGATGTTACTAGGAGGAAAAGTGAGTACATTAAAGAATTTCTACCAGATACATCTTTAACGTTAAAAACCGGCAACTCTCCAAAGTGCCAAGTAGCCCAGAATGACCATTTTTTTTGGGTATGACGTATATTACTTTCTATGCATAGATTTAAGTGGGTTTATAATATGAACTTATGAGAGCCCCAAGCAGCATGTGACTCGGGTTGCTTGTGCAAGTAGGTAAGGACACTGAAGATTATATTTGGCTTATTTATATTGGCTGAAACTTTTCCACAAAATTAAATGTCCCCGAACACTTGAAAGAACATTGTGAAAGAATATTGGTGAGCTAATTTTTCTTCCTTCTCCTGCTAATTACACTTAGTTAGAATGAGCTATACTGACCTAATGCCCTTTCCCTCATTATTTAGATAGTTTCTTCGCCTTTTGCGTTTTGCTCAGCTTGCACGCTGAAAGTAACCGTGTCAGCTGCTGGATTCTCCCATGTACTGTCACAGCCACTTCTCAGGCTGCAACAGGAGTATTTTAACCTGTTCGAAAAAGATTTAGGAAGTATTTATCCTAGTCGTATTGGACCAAATCTCTCTCCTGGAGCAGCTGCACTGGCTACCTGTGAAATTCATTCAATACCTTAGGTTTTCCATGGGATGGCCCTTCAGACAAGCTGAGAGTACAAAGAAATTTGAGCATCAGGTGTGGGTAAGGTAAAGCAGGAGCCCGTGGACCTGGGTTAGGTGTCTGGTGCCTGTTGGGACAAAGCTGTAGTAAAAAATGTAAAATGAAGTGTCATCCTCCCAGTCTGGAACTGCCCTAGCCCTGGGGAGCACTTGGGGGCCACAGCTCATCCGCCTGAGCATTTGCACCCTTCTGTTGGTGTGGTTGACCCTGCTGACCTGACACATTGGGACCATCGCACAGTGCAGGCTGATAAGAAGTCCTGTTGCTGCAGTGGCCAGGAGCACAAGTATGTCTTTGCCAGAGACACCGCGAGGCTCTCATGGAAAGCACGTATTTTGACAAGGGGGACTGGTGCTGAGAAGTGTGTGTGCTGGGGGAAAGTTTTATGATGGTGCTCGTGGTGGGAGCGGCAGAAGTGGGTTAGTGTTCGGGCTGGTGCTGGGCTTAGGGAGCTCCATCAGAAAAATGGCCATCACCTTCCAGTTTCCTGGTATTTGCATTGACCTTGGGAGAGGAGTAGGGCAATGTCTGCATTATCAAATGGAGAGGAAAATGCATATTGTTTTAGCCTGTGTGTTAAGCAGACAGTGGTGGCCGGTGATGTAAGTCTCAGGTAGCCCTGTTTGTTGGACCAGCTGGGCAGGATGTCAGAGCTCTCCATCCCCGTGACAGAGACATTGCTAAATGAGCTGTGCTCTGCAGGCAGCCCTGCTTTCCTCTTTTGTGGGTTTGATCCATAGCGCTGACTGTTTTCTCCTCCCACAACCATTCTGCAGTGAACAGTGTCTTTCATGTTTGGAAATATTCCTCAGTGACCTTGGTGAAGTTTCATCGCTAATGAGATATGATGGAAGGAGAGATTGCTAGATCTTCAATGGCACAACGTTGTTTGCCATTTGAGATCAGTGTAGGAGGGTACTTACCCGCAGTGGTCTGGCTGCCTTTCATCTCTCCAGCTCTGGGCTGTGTGGCCAGGCAGCTCCAGGTAACTTTGGCAGCAGATGAGATGAGAGCTCTCCCATGCTGAGAACTTCCTCCAGCCACAGTCTCCCTTCTTCACTGGCTCGGTCTAAGATAAGGGGCTGGGACAGACCTCTCAGTGGCATTTTTAGCGTGCATTCAGAGCCATACATCTTGGCGCACTTTGCAAATATTAATCGATCCACCAAGCGAACAACGCTGTACCCGTTTTACTGAGACATGGAGAGGTTGTGGCACAGCCATGGGGGTGAGGAAGAGGAGTTTAGAAACTCTAAGAACTGATTCCCTGTCACCTGGTACCTCCTTGGGGACAGCCTTCCTGCAGGACCGCTGGGATGAATGACTTGGGTGACACCATCCACGGTCAGGCAAATCTTGAGATTGCTCGTAGCAGCGATCTGGTCTGGGCAGGGAACGATGTGAGGAGTCTGGCTCGGTATGCTTCTCTCTCGCTTGCTATGGCGGGATGTGCAAGTTTGTTGGCAGCCCCTGAGGTGATCAAACTCTAGTGTATTTCAAAACTCTTCTGTGTAAGGCAAGGCAAGCAGTATTTTAGCACAAATCAGGGCAAACTACCATGGGAGATGGTAGATCCTACATTCTCAAATCAAGAATGGGCAGCTTACCAGAAGTAGTATTTTAATTAAACACAATCTTAGTTAATCATAGGAATATCTGACTGAAAAAGGCTTGTGTTATAGAGGAAGTCAGGCTGGATGATGTAATTGTTCTTCCTGACCTTATTATAAAAACAGATGTTTATGGTGAGAGAGGATGTATTTAAATACAAGCTGTGTCTGCATAATGGCCTTAAAGTATGTTAGTTAAACATATTCATGTGCTCCTTCTCATTTTTAACCCATTTTGGATAACCTAAAAAAGGTCAGTTATAGAAAATGGCCTTTATCAATGCAGTAAATTGCACATTACCTCCTTTGTGCCCACGATGGCAGCTACATCAGTGTTAGCTACCTCAGGCTCTTCCAGAGATTGAACAGTTCAGACTACATTGCGTGAAACCGTGGCTTGGTTCTGGCTTTCCCTCCATCACATTTGTGTGCTGTGTTGCGCAGTTTTCTGCCCCATGGTGGGGAGACTGGCCGGGGAGGGGAACTGCTGCAGCAGCAGCCTCCGAAACCAGAGGGGTGGAGAAGTGGTCATGGAAGGGGTCAGAGCACTCAAGCCGTACCACTGAGGAGGTGAGCTCCTGGTACCGTCAGAGAGCCTCCCCTGTAGCTCAGAAAAGGCAATACCTTTAAGAAACATGAGATGGGTCCCATTCTGCGTCCAAACTGTACTTCCATAGATGTGTCTTTGGGCTGAGTTTACAGCATTTCTGTAAAGGTACCTTAGGCCAGTTCTTGCGCTAGGAAAGCCACCGTTAAGTGTGTTCCTTTGAAGCAAACGTTGCTCGAAATAACTTGGAAATCATTATTTCTCAGCTTTCTTAAAAAAATTCTGCCCCAAAGGAAGACTCTTCAGCACCGTGCAGTGTTATGGGACTGTTGGGTGTTCTTTACACCTGCAGCATGTGTTTGGACAGGGGTCATTTGGGAGGTGAGAAGTGGATGGGGGTAGAAAGGAATATTAATTAAGCTTGTCACTGCCAGAGGGATAGTGTGCATTGCGCGCAAGGAAATTCCAGGTAGAGCTGGGCATGATTTTTCTGCGTGGAATACATTTATTTTTCAAAAACGTGCTTTTGAGAGAGCTGCAATTATTCATGTATCCAAGTTTCATCTGGCAAATTATTTCATACAAAAAATATGGGGGGAATATAGGAAGAGTTGAAAATGCTTGTTTCAGTCTTTTTAGAATGAATCACTTCAATATTTGAATTTCAAAGTTAATTTAATTTCAAAATAAAAAAATTAAATAGCCTTCATTTGACATAAAACATTTAATGTCATTTGACATAAAACATTTACTGTGGGACTTGTGTATGCATTAATTTTCTTTAGGTTGAATTTTTCCAAATTTTCAGATTTAGTGTCATATCCACCACTGTGCATCTGGTTAATTCAGTTCCAGCATGTCAAGAAATTGCATTAGAGAGAACTCTACAGTATCCACTTGAAAGAAAGTTAGCAGCTATGGAGGAATAGGAATCTTTAACGTGATGCAACTGGTTCATCTAAAAGTAAGAGAAGATAAATAAAATGGATAAAAATGTAATCCTGAATGGTAGGAGCACTTTCTTAGTGAGACATCTTTGTTGATCTTACTTGTCTGTCTGTCTAAGCAGTTGGAAATGCCAACTGTTAGTCTATAAAACTGTCTTTCAGAGCAGGAGGGGGAAATGCTTTGTGTTTTCCCAATATGTAAAAAAATGGACAAAGCAAAAGAGACTATACTGGGAAAAATTTGGCACCAGTCTGGGAGGGCAGAAAATGCAAATCTTATGGAGGAGATGACTAAAAGGTGGATTGTCTTGTCAGTTTTGTTATGGGAGGCTGCAGCTTGGACAAGAGGAGGTCCTTCACCTGAAATTTTGAGTTGACCAGATCTATGTTTTTGTGAAAATAAATTCTGTGGAGAGGAGCAGGCAGACAGGACAGGAAAGCCCTCTTCTCTAGCCAGTTCTGGGTTTGTTATGATCTTAGCATCTCATACCTCTGCGTGATATACTACATGGCAGGACAAGGGATGTATGCATTAATTTTCTTTAGGTAGCCGGGCAGGGTGACCACCGCTGCTGGGGCAGGAGCCAGTGGGCGCTGTCCCTCTCCTGCCCCGGCCCCCACAACAAGAGGT